GAAAGGCATTCGAAAAAGTTTCATTGCCGTTAGATTTCATGTGTTTGAATTAATGCGGCTCAGTAGATTTTGAATAATGAATGAGTAATGAAAGTTTTATGAACGTCAATGTATTTAAGTAAATTGAATCGAGTTTATAAAAAATCAAATACTAATTTACATTTTTTTTTCTAGAATGACGATTGATGTCCTTTTTTTTAATAAAGAAGAAAAAAATATTTTTTATAGTTCACAATTAAGAAAAATTAGTACCTCTAAACGGTAATAGTTGATTAATATTTAAGTAATTTAATTAAATAAAAATGATATAATCTTTATTTTCAGGTTAACTATTACTGATATCTTATCACAACCCGATGATTCCTGGCAAGGCCAACATGGAATAGTTTCAGAAACATTATTAAAAGAATTAATTGGTGATCCTAGAGCACTAAGTTGTATTTTTATATGTGGTCCAATATTGTTTACGAATACCGCACATACGTGAGAATCAATCAATAAACTTTTAATATTATTTGTATCTTTGGCATTTTCGCTGAAATATAACTAACATACGTTTTTTTTGAGATAAGAAAGTTTCTAAACTGAAAAATGAGTAGAATATCGTTTTATAAAATTAATAAAATAATTTCATGAACCATAAATTTAAGGTAATACTGTCAGTAATAGAGTTACTACTCAGAATTCAATTAAATTTTGTATATTAGTAGAATATAGTAACATAATAATCCCCCATCAATCACTTTTAGATTTAACATTGAGAATTATGAGAAATCACAGTTATTGTTTTATTTCACAAAAAGTATCGTTCAGATTTAAGTGAATATTAAAGTTATGAAAGAACATAAAATATTGAATATTTTGCATAATTGAAAGTATAGATTCTGAGCATGTGATAGTAATAATTGATAAATAATTTTCAAATATCTGTTTCTCTTTCTCCAATATAACGCTACATGGGGAAATCTACTACATGAATCAAGCAAAATTTTGTTTTGACATTTGATTCTCGCAGTATCGACAGTACTACCTTAAGATGTAATTAGAAACTTTGTTTAAATAACATAAATCCTGTTTTTTAATACTTGAACACAGTATTGTATGTTAAACACATTTAAAACATTATTTAATAATCATAACTCAACAGTTACAATAATAAATAGAATACTAGTAGTATTCAATTTTAAAGCTTGATAATTTTTGATAATTTCATTAAAATTTTCAAGCTTTAGTCTGAATGTCCACGTGAAAAATTATCTCATAGCGAAAATTCTGAAGAATTAATTTTATCAATATGAGATTTATAATGAAACCTTTTTTTTTTAGAATCCTCCTGAAACTTGGATGGAAAACGCCTCAAATCTATGAATTTAAAGGATAGCAAATTCAATTATGCAATTTATAAGAAAAAATTTGTTTTTAAATTATTACGATGAAAATAGAAGAATACGTCCTAATAAAATATAAATAAAAAACCAAAATGAATCATTTTTTGATATCGAAATAATTAATTTTTTGATTTAATATATTGAGAATGATTCCAATAAACATGCACCAATACGTGTATAAAATACATGCAAAATTTTACAGACCTAAAAAATTTCCTATAGATTCTACACCTGTGTTTCTTTGTTATTTACCAAGCTCCTTTACTTCGAATATTAAAACTTGATAATTTTTGATTTTGTTCTTTCTTTAATTCATTCTCTCTCAAATGAGAAACATGAAGTAAAAATGATGGCAATGAAAAAAAGTTTGGAAAATCCAAAAGTGCACGCCTCGCCATAACACTCATTCATTTTTTAAGAAAAAATAAATTGTGTAATTGATTAAAAAAGAAAAAAAAATTATGATTAAGTAATTTTCTTACAGGGAATTTTAAATTTAAGGGAAATATCAGCGCCCTTTTTTCTTTTCATATGCGCACGCAGTCTAAAAAAATCTAGCTTGATCAAGTGGCGCCATAGTTTTCACGTGACAAATAAGAAAAGTTCGTTTGTCTTTGCACGGTTGTATCGTAGTGAATTTTAATAAAAATTCAATTTAAAAAAAAAATACGTAAACTAGGCTACTGATATGAAATACGGACCCAGTTCATCGCATTCTTAAACTAATAAAAAAAGTCCGGTCTTGAAATAACAATTTGTTCGGGAGTAATCGTTCCCTGGCGGATTCGTAGTCACGGTAAAATGATCGTGAAACGACGGTGAAAGCACCGTCAATTCACAGTCTAGACAAATTATCGTCGAATAACCGTCACTTGACTGTCGAACGACCGTCGTTTGACAGTGAACGGTGAGTATAGCTGTGAACGATTTTCACTGTTACTTTATGATTTTTATTCTGTATAGTTATCATACTTCACTCGTCGAAAAACCAAATTTTTACTTGACTTCTCCGATTTTTTACCTAAGTAAAAATCGTAGATCATCGATCGATCGTCTGTCATTGCACGGTAGTTTGTAGGTGAAA